GGTGGTAGTCAGGCCATGACACAGAAAATTAAGGGGAAAAATCACAACTTCTGACTCATAGTCATATTAAGTATAAGATGCCTACCAATGGTTTATTGAATGAATCATATTCGATGGAGTGCAAACAGGAAATTGCTTTATTTTTCATAGTTTTTAATTGTGTCAGGTGGGATTTCCCTTTCTTGCATTTTTAACAATCCCATTTTTCCCCCAGTAACCTTCACATATTCACGGTATCATTTTTTAGGTACCAATATGTCCAGTCCAGTCTAACAGCAAACTTTTGATGTCCCCTGCAATTTAAGGGTTCCTCCGTCCTCTAGCTAAGTTCTGCCAGGCTCGGAAACCTGTACTGGGAAAAGGTAGTTTGGCTGGTAGCTTCACTGCTTTCTCACCTTAGTTGCTAATCCTCTCCTGCTCACCTTACTGCCTCTGGACTCTCTAAGGTTGGAGCTGGTGGGAGCAGGACAAGGGTGGGAAAAGAAGCACGATGACAAGATCTTCCTTGGAAGGAGCGGTGCTAATGTGGCTTTGGTGCCCCTGGTTGTGGTACATGCCAAAATTCTGGCTCGTAGCTTATGAGTTCTTTGGAGATTCTCTCCCTTCCAGTATAGGGACACCCCCTTTACCACTCCCTGGCATGAGCTATGCCGTCACTAGCTGTCTCTTGTAACTCTCCTCTAGTTTCTGCTTCTGGCAGTGCAATTACATATGACTTTTCTGTTGGGGTCACCTAGCCCTGGAACGAAGACCTCTCAGACAGGATCTGTCCTGTGATCTTCCTGGCCTCACACCTAATCATGGGAGTGCAGTTAACCTCTGTTACAGCCCACGCTCCTTATTATGCCATCATGGCACGTTCCCTCAAGACTCTGGTCCTGAAAGTTTTTTCAGATAAAAACCAGGCACTAGTCAATTTCGCCTAAGCTCCAGAGGTCCTATTTCAAGTCTTCTAAGTAATTCTCCTGTAGCCTCCCACACGTTAGCTGGATATGAGGGGGAGACCTCCCTGCCCGCATGGGATAGGGGACACACAAAACACCAAAAATGCTTTCCAAAGAAATCCTCAAATCTGAACTCTTTTATAAATTCCTAGCCTTGTTTTGTGTAGGCTGGAGGTGCATGGTGGCCTGAGCGCTGCCTAACCTATTTTGGACCACTACCTGAACAAGTTCCGAATAGGTGGGCTGATATCTCTGTTTAGAATTTGGGGATACTTGTCAAGTATAATTCTCAGCAATAATTCTAAGGTAGAAAATGTCCCCTCATAACATCTTGTTACATGCTCATTTGACATCTAAGTGTTGGTGGCAAGTAAGCAGTCTGAACTAAAACTATAAACTTGGGAGTTATTTGCATAAAGATGATATTTTATAGCTATGAAACTGGACAAGATCATCTAGGGATTGAAGGTAGAGAGAAGATAACATGAACTTAGGTCCAAGACCGAGGGCACTCTAACATCCAGAGAAGAAGCCAAAGAGGAGAGCCCAGCAAAAAGACTGAGGACGTTCAGCCAGTGTATTTCCCTGGGGGCGGGGGGTGATCGTAAGGGAAGAACATTTTCTTTGGCAGCTGCCCTCTTCAACTGCAGCCCCAAGACTAAGGAATCCTCGCTAGGAAATAAGATACCCAGTTTCATAATAAACAGTCAATATTGTTTTCATTACCCATCCATGGTGGCCTGGGCTTGGCAATATTAAAAAGGTGATCCGTGAACTCTACAAACACAGTCTTTTTGTACATGACCGAGGTGCTGAATGGAAAAGTTCTTAGTGTTCTAGGAGGAAACCTGTGTGAAGAAAGGGAAAAAAAAGGCATTCATTTTTGTGGACCCTTTTTTGAACCCACTTGGAAAAGTAGCTAGAAGTAATGCTTCCATCCCACTCTCCTTACCTGTTAACAGGGCAAATTGGAAGTTGTATGTGAATCCCTGCTATAGGCTTAATGTTTGTGTGCAGAGTCCCCATGAAGGGGATTAGTGTCCTTATAAAAGAGATCACAGAGAGATCTCTTACCTCGTCCACCATGTGAAGTTGCAGTGAAAAGATCACTATCTATCTATGAACCAGGAAGAGGGCCCTTACCAGACACCAAATCATTTGGCACCTTGATCCTGGACTTCCAGCCTCCAGAACTGACACATAAATGTCTGTTGTTTATAAGCTACCCAGTCTATGGTATTTTTGTTATAGCAGCCCAAACTCACTAATAGCATCCCTACCATCTATTAAACCAAAACACTCTTTTCAAAAGTCATCTGATATTTTAGGCACCATATGCAAATATAAATCATGAAATTGATATCCATACACGGTATCAGCCAAAAAGTCTTTTGCCAAAGCAATAACTACAGCATCCTTCAATTTCATCTTTAAAACAGACTATAACTTTTATCTAAGTGCCTTGTATTCAAATTTTGTCAGTATGTACCTAAAATTATAGTTCCCTTCTTAGGGATACCAGGAGTACCACATAGAAAATTAACTTCCAATGACGATTGTATATTGAGCCCTACTGGTGCCAGGAGCTATAATTGAGAGTCAATCCTCCATTAATTCTCACTCTTATCTCCAGTCAGACACGCCCAATTACCCATTTATTTGCTGCTCAACTACTGAATCAAAAATTTTATAATTAATTATACGAATGTTCCCCAAATGTTATTCTATGCCTCAGTATTCTATGCCGCCTTTTAGGTGGGTTCCCCACCATTTCCTCTGTCCCTACCTGACATGTTAGGTTGTTGTGTCCTGGGTCCCAGTCTAGGGTGAGTAATCAAAAGAACCAGTGTGAGTCCTAGTGAAGAAGGCCCCAGGGGTATTGGTAGACAACATAAAGTGGTTCAAGGTGACTGATTCCACTCACTGACATCTAACTCTTATTTCTCACCAGATTTTACCAATTGGTATTGTTGCAACAAGCCAAGGGCGCATAGGCCCATGCCATGGAGATTTGGGGAATGAATGTTCATGTGGAGAAAGCAAAGGCACCTTTCCTGGAAGAAAGCTTTCATGTGCAGATCCCGGTCTCCAAACCTCCATCGGTCAAAAAAATTGAGCTCTCACTAACCCCACAGATGTATACTCATTCACTTATAAACCACATGCTACCTGCCACTGTGCCATCACAAAACACACACTAGAAATACATATGGAAAAGGATATTTTTAAAGACATACAGTTAGATGTGGAGTTAGGTGTTGTTTCTTATGTCTTGTTGACTCTCAAGGGCTTTTTGAAAAGCAAGAATGTCACAGATGGTGGGCCAGCTGTGTGGCGCATTGGTTAAGAGCTGGCTTGGGACGCCAGACAGTCCCGGTTCGGATCCCACATATGAGGGCCAGTGACACTACCCTCTACAGCTAAGATGCTGAACAACAGCTCAACCTGGAACTGGGCGACGGCATAGGCTGCAGCCCCTGTGGCAGTGGGTTGCCATGGGCTACCATGTGTAGCCAGCAGCTAGTGTGAGCGGCCAGCAGCCGCCATGAGTGGGCGACGGCATAGGCTGCAGCCCCTGTGGCAGTGGGTTGCCATGGGCTACCATGTGTAGCCAGCAGCTAGTGTGAGCGGCCAGCAGCCGCCGTGAGTGGCCGTCTAGAAGCCGGTGACTGTTCTGCCTCACCCGGGAAGAGCGCAATGATGGTGCCAATGAAGCAACGTCCTCTACAACTAGACTGAAGAACAAAAGGACAGCAACTTGTCTGTTCCGCTTCCCCCAATTCCCCAGTGCTGTTCCCATCCCCCAATTCCCCAATAAAAATCTTAAAAAAAAAGAATGTCACAGATGGTACATAGTACAAATAAATTATAACATACTTGGCATGGGTACCACTGGAGAAAGAATCCCCAACATCAGCCGGTAAGACACATAAGACCTGTTACAAATGACAACAGGAAGGATACATTGGGGGAAAGGAGAGGTGATTGTGGATATTACCATGCTTGGAGCAAAAGCCACTCCATACCTGGGATTACCAGGATATGAAATCAACAACAAGACATCTGGCATTTATTGCTTATTATTTCTTTCTTAATCTTTAGCTGAAATAACAAAAATCTCAATGTTCCTTTCAGGAGCAACCACACCAGAGAATCATTCATTCCCATACGAAATTTTGCTTTTACTTATAAAGGCTTTAGTGGGAATGCTGAGGTAGAGAAGGGAAATGCAATCTAAACATGGTGAAAATTGCTAAATTGGAAAATCAGTGACCTACAGGGATTTAAACTTTTTTTTTGTCAAATTTTTATTGTGGTAAGATACGTAGAACATAAAATTTTCTGTCTTAAACATTTTAAATGTACAATTCAACGGTGCTAAGTACATTAATATTGTTGCACGATTATCACCACCATGCATCTCCCTCTTTTTATCTTGCAAAAGTGAAACTACATCCATCAAACGATAACTCTCCATTCCCACTTCCCCCAGCCCATGAAACCACCATTCTACTTTCTGTCTCTATGATTTTGAATAATCTTAATTATCTCATATTAAGTAGAATCATATACTATTTGTCATTTTATGACTGGTTTATTTCACTTGGCATAAAGTCCTCAAGATTCATCCATTATAGCATGTGTCAGAATTCTCTTTTTAAGACTGAACAATATTCCATTCTGTGCATAGATCACTTTGTTTATCCATTCATCCATTGATGAGCACTTGGGTTGCTTCCACCTTTTGGCTACTGTGAGTAATGCTGCTGTGAACATGGGTGTACCCATATCTCTTCAAGATCCTTCTTTCAATTACTTTTTAAAAAATATTTTATTGGGGAATTGGGGAAGGGGAACAGACAAGTTGTTGTCCTTTGTTTCTTCAGTCTAGTTGTAGAGGACGTCGCTTCACTGGCCCATGTTGTTATTATCGTTTTGCGCTCTTCTCGGGAGAGGCAGTCGCTCGCTGGCCATTGGACGGCCGCTCACTGCGGCTAACGACAGCTCACAAAAGCTCACTCCAATTGCTGGCCAGCCCCACTGCAGCCTACGCCATTGCCGGCGATTCACGGCAGCCCAGCTCCAGGTCGAGCTGTGGTTCACCATCTTAGCAGTAGAGGGCGCAACGTCACTGGCCCTCATGTGGGTCCGAACCAGGGCTCTGCTGCTCAGAGCTGGCGTCCCAAGCCAACTCTTAACCAACGCACCACTTGGCTGGCCCTTCTCTCAGTTATTATTATTTTTTAAAATTATTTTTTATTATGAAATACACATTTTTTAGAATTAGTTTCAGCGGAAGAGCCTCTTTCAATTATTTTGAGTAGATAACCCAAAATAGAACTGATGGATCATACAGTAAATTTTTAAACTTTTTGATAAATCACCATACTGTTTTCCACAGTGGCTACACCACTTTGCAATTCTCACCAAGAGTGCACAAGCGTTCCAATTTCTCTATATCCTTGTCAATACTTATTTTGGTTTGTTTTTTGTATAATGGCCATTCTAGTGGGTGTGAAGTGGTATCTCTTTTGTAGTTTTGGCTTGCATTTTTCTAATGATTACTGATATTGAGCATCTTTTCTTGTGCTTATTGACCATTTGTATATCTCCCTTGGAGAAATGTCTAGTCAAGTCCCTTGCCCATTTTTCTACTATTTTTTTATTGAAAAATTTTTCCCATTGCAGTTGATATTCAATATTATGTTAGTTTCAGGTGTACAGCATAGTCGTTAGACATTTATATAACTTATGAAGTAATCACCCACCTGACACTATACATAGTTATTACAATATTATTGACTATAGTCCCTATGCTGTATTTTACATCCCTGTGACTGTTTTCATAACTGGCAATTTGCACATCGTAATCCCTTCCCCTTTTTCACCCATTACCCAAACCCCCTCTGGTCTGGCAGTTTGTTCTCTGTATCGGTGAGATTGTTTCTGTTTTGTTTGTTAGTTTATTTTGTTCTTTAGATTACACCTATAAGTGAAGTCATATGGTATTTGTCTTTTTCTGTCTGACTTATTTCACTTAGCACAATACCCTCTAGGTCCATCCATGTTGTCCCTTTGCCCATTTTTCAATCAAATTGTTTGCTTTCTTGTTGTTGAATTTTAAGGAATTCTCTCTATATTCCAGGTATTAATCCCTTATCAGATATTTGATTTGCAAATATTTTCTCCCATTCTGTGAGTTCCTTTTTTACTCTGCTAATAGTGTCTTATGATGCACCAAAGTTTAAATTTTCATGTAAGTCCAATTTGTCTATTTTTTCTTTTGTTGTTTGTACCTTTGGTGTCATATCCAAGAAATCATTGCCAAATCCAATGTCTATGTTTTCTTCTATGGGTTTTATAGTTTTTGTTCTTATATATAGGCCTTGAATCTATTTTGAGTTCAGTTTTACATGTGATATTAGGTAAGGATTTAATTTCATTCTTTTACACGTGGATTTCAGTTCTCCCTGCACCACTGTAGAAAAGACTGTCTTTTCCCATTGAATAGTTTTGGAACCCTTGCAGAAATTCACTTGACCATACATGCAAGGGTTTATTTCTGGACTCTATTGTATTCCATTGGTCTACATGTCTGTGTTTATGCCAGTACCACACTGTTTTGATGACTGTAGCTTTGCAGTAAGTGTTGAAATCAGGAAGTATGTCCTCCAACTTTTTTCTTTTTCAGGATTGCTTTGACTCTTTAGGGTTTCTTGAGATTCCATATGAATTTGAGGATGGGTTTTTCTGTTTCTGCAAACAACATTAGGATTTTGATAGGAATTGCATTAAATCTGTAGATTGCTTTGGGCAGTATTGACATCTTAACAATATTAAGTCCTCC